CGTAAAAAAGAATTTGAGGATGAATATGAGTTATATCAAGGCAATATCTCTACTCTGATGACCATTGACTGACTCAGTTGAGTGACCTTTATCTTACTGGGGCCATTTAACCCAAGGATTTATCTGTTAGCTAATATTGTAGTAATTTTTAAACATAATCCTTTTGACTATAGGCTAAGTTATAGTATTTTGATTCTACTTCTTTAATTTTATGCCTGCCATATCACTGTTCAGTTGCTAACATTTTCCAAAGTGGGATTTTAATGGGCGACATTGTGATTTTTGTGGGCGCAATTTTGCAAGAAACTACGTGCACTGTCTACTGACTGCACAAGGCAATGTTGCACCCCCAAAAAACATGAGCTTGTTTCTGATAAATCATATCTCTCCAAGGAAAACAGCACTTCAGCAATAAAAGCACATCAGGAAAGATCTGCAAGGCCAGAATGAAAATTACCTTGGTATTTGGTATGCAAGATTCTGTATGAAAAAAATATCAGGACCCTCTGAAAGATTTTGGAGACCATGAGCACAGTACTGAGTGGAGACCTCCCTAGTTCGGGACAGGCAAATCATGTGTGTAGAGGAAGACTTTACATGGCGGATGCAGTAAGTGTGTCAGACTGTGCTCCTGCATGAGAAAAACATGCTTTTCACATTCATTGTCTGATGTTTGGGATACGCTTCTAAGCAGACAGTAGCCTTGGAACTGCAAAAGCAGCCAACTGCAGAGAAGACATATCCACTTTGTCCTCCCAGAAGGAGAGTGCCCATGGCCAACTGGTGCCTCAATTAGAACTGCATACTAATTGGAGATTCAAGACTGTTAGACTACTGGTGTCCTACAGCCATACTTCTATGCCATTATTAGGAATTTCCCTGTAAAAGAAAGTGGTATTCTAGGGACATGAAGTTAGCAAAGAAGAGGAGGGAGAGGCATAGTGGAGAACTTGCTTCAAACTGTAAGGAAGTGCAGGTGAGCACTCCTGATGGAAGTGGACTGTACTTCTTTTTTTTTCCCATTTACTTCAAAGGGCACCACACATGCATGTAAAGCCTTGCTCACGGAAATGTGGAGGGGCAGGTTCAACTAGCCTCCAGGAAACATAAGGACACAAGAGAGGATTCCACACCACTTAACATTAGGCACGTGACTTGGATGCCTAAATTAACAGCAAATCTCTTCAAGGTCCCTCAGCGGTCAGCAGAGAAAAAGAGATGCCTGAGTCAGAAGCAGACATGATCCAAACGGCCTCTGGAGAAGATTACCTGTCTGACTATAGAAGGAGCCTGGAAATGACAGCGTCTTAATTTAGGAATCAGATGCCTTAATCTAGGCGGTGCAAATTCTCTTGCGCCTCTAGCCTTACCACATCAAGGCACTGCTTATATTAGTTGTTAGCTTTTATCCTATCAGCTATTATAATCTGGCCGCTACCTTGTAAGGTTAAGAGCCACAGACAGACCAAAGAAAAGACTAAAACCTACCCTCACAGTAAGCTTTCTTGCTTGGAAAGAACATTTTTCCTTTCTTTTGTACTTTTTTACTGCACTAAAGCAAAAGCACCTTTTTAATATTAAAGCATAAATTAGTTGTGTGATACAAATCCAGCTGTAACTGTGATATTTCTACTGCTGTGTTTTAATTACAATTCTTTTCTTGTTAGAATTAAATTTCTTTCTCCTTTCAAGTTAACGCAGTGAAATTAATAAAATCTGCATCTGAAAAACAATGTATACCCTGTAGCCCATGTTCTCCTCCTAAGCAAAAGGACATCAGCTCTGCTGCCAGAATGGAGGCTGCAAAAGAAGCAACTATGGACTTAAACACTTGCGATACCACACTCCAGCAAAGCAAACCAAACCAAACAAGCAGGGAACTGTCTGCCCAGTCCAGAAACTACTGTAGCTGGCACGGCTTTTATCCACCTGCAAGCTTGAGAAGAGTGCATTATGATAGCCTCAGGAAAAGACTGGGGCCACAGACTTTAGATGGGTGAAATTTGACAGGTAGGAGAAACAGGGATGTGTATAGGTGTCCTGGTTTCCGCCGGGATAGAGTTAATTTTCTTCATAGTGGCTTGCATAGTGCTGTGTTTTGGATTTAGTACTAAAAGAATGTTGATAACACACTGATGTTTTTAGTTGTTGCTAAGTAGTACTAAGACTGGCCAAGGACTTCTCAGCTCTCAGCTCTGCCAGGTGCAGGGGAAGCTGGGAAGGGACACAGCCGGGACAGCTGACCCAAACCACGACAATAGGGGAAGAGCAGCAATAAAGGAGAGTAATAAAGGATGGCACTCTATTAATATTGGGATAAAGACAGGATTCTCCATAGACTTTCTGCAGCCAATTTCAGATCTCCTTGCACTGCATAAGGTGACCCCAGCAAAGTGGTGTACCTGCTTTCCCAGGTTTTACGTGTAAGGAACTTTAAGCATTCAAAGCTCAATATGGAAATATGGTTCTGCTTCACCATATCATTCTCCCTGTTCCACTGTTCCAATTCCTTTTTTCAGCCTATGATCCACACCTCCTCCCCACCGCTTTTGTTTTCTGATTTGCAGTTTCTATTTTCAGCTGGCAGGAAGACAAACTAAACCTAAAGATTAGCTTATTGTTATGTTATGTGCCCAGGCAGGATAATCCTTGATCCTTCATTGCAGCTTTGCACTGAGACAAACAAGGCTCGAGATAGTTTTGTGGCAGATTTTGAGTCTTAATCAGTCAGATGTGGCTGCAGCATGGTGTAGCTGCAGGCCAGGTAGCTCCAAATTAGGCTAGCAGGACTTCAAGCAGTCTGGTCACAGTGGGATGGAGCTACCCATGGGGAAGATATCAACAAGATCCCCCAGTCCCTATGAAAGAGAAGACAAGTCACCTTGGCAGAGAGGTGGGGGAAATTTTACATATGGGAGACAAATACTCCATAACTAGAGCTCTGCAAGAAAAACCATTGAGATGAAGGTACAGTGTGTATGCAAGAGCCAGAGAAGCAGGCAGATACACAGAAACTGTGCAATGAACTAAAGGTATGTTAAGAAAATGGCAAGGCACACCAGAATTGTAATTACAGCAGAGAAGAAGCCTACACAAGCTGCTCTGGTGAGATATTGAGGAAACAAAAGCAAGCATCTGAGAGAGTGTGCAAGTAGCACCAGAACACCAAAAAGATTCAAGACAGGAGCTCTGTGAACACTACAGGCAAATCGTTGCTTTACAACAAATGTTGAACAGCTAAGTGGAAACTGTCACAAGTTCAAAATTTTGGGCACTGAACTTCTGAAGAGATAATGCGTTGACTGGGCTTTCCGCATGCTTATGAAAAGAATGTCCAGGTGCCATGGACAAATACCTACACACAGCCCTGAAACCAGCCAAACATTTTAGTTTGTGCACAGGACAGGACAGAGCCTGACCTTCCTCTTAGGAGATGCTACTGCCACATGTTCAGAAGCATGTGGGGAGGAATGCCCCACACAGCAAAAGGTAACTAACTCTGCTGACAGTCAGGCAGACTTCCAAAGGGGCAAAAGGAAATGCAGCAAAAGTGCATGTAGGGTATTGGTGAGTGCTGGCAGTACTCACAACCAACCACCAGATTTGTAATGACTGGCATTGGTTTGTCTGTGGTAAGTATCTAATGGACAAACATAGAAATAGTGAAACTTCTGGTAATCAGTGCATAGGGATGTTCCTGTCATGAGACTTCTTGTCTGTTAACCCAACTGTGAACATGTGTGTATATATTTTAGATAAGGTAAGGGTAAACGGAGTATAAAGGAAGAGGAGCAGATGAAAATGGATAAATAGGAAAAAGTAGTAGCAAAAGATGAGAGAATGACTTTATTAGCTTTAACACAGAGGCTCATAAAGTAATAGCCAAAGTAATGGGAAGATCGGAGATAAATACTTTAAGCAGAACATTAGAAGATTTGGGTCAGTAAGAGAGACTTTCAGTTATGAAGCTCCAAAATAAATATCAGTCCTTCCAGTGAAAATTATGAAAGGGGTAAATACAAAGAACATAAGGACAAATTTACATGGTATTTTGTTCCAGCTACAAAAACCAAAGAAATGGAGAGCCAGGAGAACATGATGCTGATGAGGTTAAGCGGCACAACAGGCAGATACTGCTCATTTTGAAGTCTAGTTTTGCTGCTGTTTACAGCTGCTGATGCATACTGGCCTTCTCCTAGTGGCTACTGTGGTTACTGTGGGCTTAGAAGCTTTACACCTTAGTATAGCAATTAAAAAAATTTAAGCTAGCAGAGGAAACAAAACCAAACCAGAAAATTCTGGTGCATTTAGAATATCAATAGTAGTCAGGCCAAACCAAATAAGGATGTTTATCAAGAAATAAGGGGTGAAGGCATTGCTTTGTACTCATATTCTGGCAACGCCTATTAGGAGCTGTACTTCATTCAGAAAATAGAATGGTAGGGAAAAGATAAGTGTAAGTTTGTGTAACTGCCAAGCAGTTTTGTAATTCCTGTGACAGTGACAGCCATCTGGGTTTGAGGGTTTTAAGCCTGAAATGACTGAACCTGGAAAGATGGGGCCACAACACTGAACTGGAGGAGGGCAGCATTAGCAGATACGCAGGCCAATATACAAAACTGCACAAACCTTCAAGTGACAATGAGCTTTGCAGAACCGTCTACGATGTTGCGCCAGCAGGACGCTAAACCATAGGACACTAATGACACAACCTGTCCTGATACCAGACTTTTTGAATGGAATGGAAAGTAGATGGAAGTGAAGGAGCCATTTGGACATTACTTGCAGGGACATAAGGTATGGACAATTATAGACTACATCTAATCTTTGGCACCCAAAAGTAGTTTCTGGTTCCTGGGTCCTTGCACATACCTTGTCATTGTACAGATTCTGTCCACCTTTTCTGTGACCTAGTTTTCACTGGGAAGAAATTTGGTGTGTGATTTTCCCAGCCTGCCCGATAAAAGGTCCAGGATTGTTTCTGATTCACAGTTGAGATAGCCCCAAACAGCACCTCTAGACCTAGCATTTATGTACTATAAATGTACCTGAAAACAGAAAAGTGTGAGAATTAAAGGCTATGTAAAAAAGAGATTCTGAGGGCTGAAAATTTGTGAAATACATAGCTATGACCTAAAAGTAAAATCTATTGTACTATGATAACCCCTTATATATAAAACAGGGCAGCATACATCAGAAGCCTGGATAAAAACGGTAGAAGGAAGCAATGCTGTCTTCCTCCTCATTACATGAGGAAACACAGCTAGTTCAGTAAGAGCAGCTTGGGGAAAGCCAAACCAAAAATAATACAATGACAATGGAATTAGTATGTGCTGCAATGGATAATTATGTATGTGCAAGATTTATAAGAGAGGAACAAACAGAAGACAGAAGAATAATAGGGACACCACCACCCCCCCCGATCTTACTGTTTTACTGCCAGTAAACGAAAGTGTGAAGAAGTAGTGTTAATTCACAAGAAGAAATGTTTGTGTCTTCCGGAGTTTGTTTTTTGCAACCCATCTTCCTCGAACCTGTGAAACATGTAAAATGTTTTGTTGGGTTTATTTTTTTACTAGTCTCCATGACAGAAATCTTAGGATGTGATACATAATGTTTTTTACCCCATTTTCCTCAAAAGAATATATCTCACAGATGATAAGATTGGGTGTGATTGTACAGTGGCAGCAAAAGGTGAGTCACAAGAACTCGAAAGCCTGAAAAAAAAGGCTGATAAGAAAAAAAAACCCTAAGCAACAGAACGGTTTTAGTTGGATGTCTTTATTCAGCCTCTTCAAAACAGAGACATTTAACTATTTAACTATTACTGATTAAATAAAGTCTATGCTAATACTAACCTAATTTGGATTTTGTGAATATAACAAGTAATAAATTGAGATATAATTGGTGGAACCAATGGAAAAAGAAATGCATCTAGTCTGTGTTCACATGTCTTCATTAGACCTCTTCCCTAGATGCAGAGGATGATCGCTGTAGTTACAGACTTTGATAAGTGTTGTGCACTATCATATTGTGTATCTCTGTCCTAGGCCTTTTTTTTCCCCCAGTCTTTCTTCTTTAGGTGACGCAAGTTTGTAATAAATTAAATGGAAACTGTTAGTTGCATTTTCAATTTTTGGTACCCATAATTCTGTTTGATGGCATTTGTATGTCACACCGGTACGTGAGCATCTGGTATGTGTCCCAGTAGACACTTCAGTACTCGTGTAGACTTCACATAAATGATGACATCTCCTTGTGAGAGTGCCATATCGCTCAGATGCTGGGTACTTCAGTGTGATGGCCTGATTAACATGAAGGTGAATCATATAATCAGTCACTAGATAGAAGAGATTCACAAATGCGGTTTGACTTGACAGTGTACATGGCCGCATACTTGCTGAGTAAATCAACTTGAGCCCCACAGGTAAGGAACAAAACCCATCACCATTCCTGGAATGTCTTTATGAAGGGAATGAGTGTCACACCACTAAACATAACTTCTACTCCTCTCAAAGTAAAACCATAATAGGTAAAATTCCAAGCTATATCACCCCACTGTATTATTCCTTTTATTATCAAATAGCTTCAATTTCTTGGTAAAATTATGAGGTTCAGCTGTAGGTAAAGATGCTTAAAATCTTCTGTAGCTCATGGCAAGCAGCAGTGCACTTTTTCAAAGAAATGCTGGGCAAGGGATTGAGAAAAGCCGAAAAAATGTGATTTGTAACTGCCTCACTCTTGACATGCACACTAGATGGAGGCAATCCAAAGGCAGCAGGGAGGAGGAGGTGATGCTGCAGGAAGATGGCCAGTCCCTCAGTCTGGTGTGATGGAGCTTCAGACTGGATGGGAGGTCGAGTCCTGCAGGGGCCCACTGAGAGTGACTGAGGGGAGTAGGGGAGTGGAGAGGGGAGGTAAAAGAAAGATCGTGTCCTAACAGCACCGATGAACAACAATGCAGCACCAGCACCCCAGCACCCAGCAAACAGCACAGGGGTGCCTGGACTTGCCTACAGCCACATGCAAGACCCACACCACTAAACATAACTTCTACTCCTCTCAAAGTAAAACCATAATAGGTAAAATTCCAAGCTATATCACCCCACTGTATTATTCCTTTTATTATCAAATAGCTTCAATTTCTTGGTAAAATTATGAGGTTCAGCTGTAGGTAAAGATGCTTAAAATCTTCTGTAGCTCATGGCAAGCAGCAGTGCACTTTTTCAAAGAAATGCTGGGCAAGGGATTGAGAAAAGCCGAAAAAATGTGATTTGTAACTGCCTCACTCTTGACATGCACACTAGATGGAGGCAATCCAAAGGCAGCAGGGAGGAGGAGGTGATGCTGCAGGAAGATGGCCAGTCCCTCAGTCTGGTGTGATGGAGCTTCAGACTGGATGGGAGGTCGAGTCCTGCAGGGGCCCACTGAGAGTGACTGAGGGGAGTAGGGGAGTGGAGAGGGGAGGTAAAAGAAAGATCGTGTCCTAACAGCACCGATGAACAACAATGCAGCACCAGCACCCCAGCACCCAGCAAACAGCACAGGGGTGCCTGGACTTGCCTACAGCCACATGCAAGACCTGATCAAATCCGACTTCCCAGCAGCTCTGCTTATCTGCAGCTGGTGTAGAGTTAACTGAACATATTGTGTAGGTGCTGATAACAAAGACACAGTCCAGGTGCCTGCTGCCGGTGTGTCCCTGTATTTGGGCTGCCAAGTGTCAGAGCTATTCACACTCTCTGTGGGGAGTCTCTCATCCAGCTGTAAGACCCAGCTGGTGAGCAGACCAAAACCATTCTCCTTAGTCAGCTGCTATAACCATGAGTGGCAGAGGCCCTCTGTTGGTGTGCAATACCCTCTGCGATCTTACGATGCTGTTCAGTAAATTAAATACCCAGCTATGCTTGCTGATCAGACTGAGCTATGAGAATGAAAAGCTATAAGCAGCAAAATCAAACAGATTAATAAAGCCAATGAATCTATGAGAATGAGGGACCACTGCTGAAGACCAGCCTACACAGGTCTTATTTTAAGTTGTTGTTAGTTCAAACGTTTGAGACCAGTTTTGTGAGAGCATATTTCAGAATCAAAAGCTTGATGAAAAATGGGCAAATCCAACAACAGGTTTGAGACTGTTTCCCCTGTTCACACAGTGTGAGATTATGAAAGGTTTTAGAGCCTCCAGTAGGTTCAGTAACATGTAACAAATAGTGAACAATGAAGCAGGCTTCAGAAAGACATCCTTAAAATGGCTGTTAATTTCAATATGTAGACTGTTTAGGAATTATACATTGAAAAATTAATTTGATACAATACCATGTTTAATAATTATAAGAACTCATTATAAAAGTGCAGATTTTGTCAGCACAGTTTGGCAGTAATTAGGAGCTTGATTTAGGTGTAGTGGAAACATTTTTAGAAGCAGCTCTTTCCACTGACTGTATACGGGGTCTAATACAGTCCATCAAGGTAAGGTAGTGGGAACATACCCTTATAATACCCTACAGTGGCCATTAATTTTGATGCTGAGACTCCCGCCCTTAGAGAGCTCATCAGAACAGCTGATTAGGAAATAAGAGAGAATTCTATTGATCCTACAGAATAAAGACCTTGATTAGTTCCTCATGCAAAGAAGGGCTGACAAGGAAAGGAGACTTAGCTTTTTGCTTTTTACTGTCTCCCCTCAGAAGCTGTGATTCCCATGTCCATTAAGGAATGGCAGCATCCAAAGCAAGACATCTCCACTGGGCTTTTGGCATTTTAAATCTTTTAAGGAAACTAAGGACTGAGTGCAGGAAAGACATCCCTTTAGTGCCTTCACTAGGTTGATAAAATGAGGTACTCCAGGACCCTCCAAAGAGATGTCAAGGGGACACAGGAGGTTGCACTTTATTAGATATCTTGTCAGGGTTTCTCTCCCAGGGATTCTCAAGTATCTGATAAGGCACCATCTCTTTCTTGCTTCCTCTGTACCTTTCCTACCCCCTGTGTGGTTTCTTTGATGTCTAAGAAAGATCTAAAAAGCTGCTCATGGTGCAGCTTCAGTTTAATTCTGAAAGTCACAGGTATCAGCCACAAGAAAATAAGTTGATAAGAAATATGATTCTATCAGGCTTTTCTGAAGCTGAATTCCCAAAAGTAACAGTCAGAAGGTCAGACTCACTATATAGACTAAGTAATAGTCTTACAGGAGGGATTAAAATAAAAACCACAGTCCAAAAGACCAGGTTAGAGAAAAACAGAAGCAATCAAATCTCTTAAAATCTAAGGACTGCAACTCAGAGCAAGCTAACAGAAAGTGCAGGTAATTCTGAACAGAAGCATAAGCTTCATTCAAAAGCTCCACTTTTTATTATGGGACAAAAAAACATAAAAGAAAGCTAATGATTAAGAAATGTAAAGGGATGAACCTCATGTAAACTGTTCTTGATTCAAGGAGATTAGCTATATGAAAAAGAGAAAACAATGCTATAAAAGCCTTTTTCTAAAACTACAGCTGTGGGTTGTGAAACCTTGAGTTCAGCTCCTAAGAGGCTCCTCCACAATTTCAACATCTCTGCACATCTCACAGTTAGAAAAGTAACATCTGATGACCCATTTTTAGAAAAAAGAGAACTGCTCCTTGACTTTTTTTAAATGAAAACAGATTTGTTTGCTAGAAATTTTCAAACTGATACATCCTTCTTGATGCAGGAAGAGGTGTTTTTGACCTTCTTCTTGTGACTGACACATCGGTTTAGCGTTACTCTGGATGCAATAATCAAAGCCATCACTTGCACCGTAAGATACATGGTAAGTCTGCTTCTTTTTTCTTTTTTGTTAGCATTTAGTAGTTGCTTGGGAGTCTAATGCCTGAGGTGAAAAATACTTGTGGAATCTTACCAGTGTACTCATCTTTAAAAATTACCCTGGGGAAATGCATAGGCTATGTTAAATGAAACACACTATTTTTAAAGGACAGAACCACTACAGCACTTAAGTAGAGGATCCAGGTAAGTGAAGAAATAAATCTCTAGTGATTGATCTGAGTAAGAAATATAATGGAGCACGCCTCTCTGATTTTTTCTCTGAAGATGATAGATAATGATGGAAATCTGGATTTTAAAACTTAGTGCAAAGACAAAACAGCTCATTTGAGTGAAGAGTACTTACTCTTCTCACAGGATGACCACAAAAAATCTGAAATTGTATTTATCACTCTGCCTCACAGCACCTCTTTACATGCAGCATAGCTTAGCATTTTACCCCTGTTTACTACACCTTTTTGTTACCATTTTATAGCACTGTGTAAATGAACTGAAACTCACTTTAACAAAATCTTTGCCTCTTTAAAAACAGAAAGCTCTGACCTGAAACTCAGCAAGAAACAGTGACACGAGTTTGCTCAGCTTTTCTATGGAGAGCTTTTCTCTTGAAAACTGCATGACTGCTAGTCTCAATCAGAGCAACAGAATTTGTATAGCAGATTGCAGGTCTCTAGAAATATTGCATTTATCTAAACTGTATTCAAAATAGTATAGGCATCTTCTTGAAATATCCTTACTTCAGAGATCTTCCAGGATTATCTTTGGGATTTCTTCGTATTGATCAAGAAACATAAGCCCAGTCTAATTAGATAAACAACCCAGGCTGATTAACCCAGTGAAGCATTCTAGCCAGTAGCCAACACTGTTTCCTAAACCAGTGAGATTATAGCATAAAGCACTTACAATTCCTTTTTCTGGTTTCCAAATTAGTATCTGCAGTTTCCATTGTCAGCATGTGCTGGATACTGTACACAGTTCAGGGTAGTAAGTATTTTTGCAGAGAGAGACTTCTGAACCAAAGGCTAGGCTAGAGGAATGAGGCTGTTAGCGGAAGAAACTGCTCAGAGAGGAGACCACAATTTAAGCATGAAAAAAGGTTGAAAGGAAGAAGATAAGATGCAGGGAAGATGTTGCTGTCTTTCCAAGAAGGCAGAAGAAAAGGAGAGAAGGCATTGAGATAGCAGTTAGCAGGAAGAAGGGGCTGCTGTGAAAAGAATTAATGCAATATCAAGGCAGCATTTTGCAATAATATTTGCATGAATCCCATCCATCACATACTCATAAGACCCAGGTGTTTCTCATAGCAATGTTTATGCATCAGTATACGTATGCAGGTGCAAAATGAAGACAGGACGTGCTGGGTCTGGCACTATGTTGCAGTCAGTCCCTCATCCCATAATCCCAGTACACAGCATGACTGACTGACACATCAGAGATGGGGATATTTAGCTATATTCAGTGCCAGGGACTTGTACTATCAGGGCATGCGACATAGATCTAGCAGATCTAGCTGAAGGGAATACGAAATATTTGCACAGTGCCCACGTCTTGTCATATTTTGAAATAAAGAAGTTAGTTTTTTGGACCAAAGAGTGTTTTATAAAGGTGCTTTTTTTCATAAAAGAGTTGCTGAAAGCACTTAAGAAATATAAACCCTTAGATACTTTGAAATAAGCTTATTTACTGTCAATACACCTGAGCCACAGCCACTTCCTTTACCAACAAAACCATTATCTCAGTACTGTAATAACTATGTAGTTAGTACGGCTGTGGAAAAAAACTGTTTCATAGAGGTTGCCAGAGCTTCCTGAGAGCCAGTCTTTGAGGAGTTTGACAGCACTTATTTTCTCCCCAAGAATTATATGTAGGCAAAGCTGAGACCCAAACTGACAAAACTTGCCAATTTTCTCTTACTCCTTGTTCTCCAGAAGAAAACTTCTGGAGAAGTTTTTCTTCTACTCAGCATGCCCAAGTAACGACTAAACATGATGTTCTCATTCTTACTATTGTTAGGAGCAGATTTGACAGCCAGACTCAGGAAGAACGTGGGGAAGGGGTGGGAAAAAGATTTGCAAAGAGCACATCTTTTTGTTTACAAGGTGCAGCTTTTGCTCCAATAAAGCTTCCTCCTTTGGGGGCAGATTCATATCTGCACTGTGCAGCATAAGAATTTCCCTTGGGAGCTGGCAGCTCCAGAGAGACTCAGATCCTCATTTTTAAGGTCACAAGAAAGTGGTCAAACACCTAGCAATGAGTCCCTACCCCAAGACTGCAGCTTAGGTTTAGCTAAATTAATAGCTTTGACAGAAATTAAGGTAAGGACATTAGTGTTTTGAGTGATCTGTGCTTACAGATAATAGTCCTTTCACTTGAACAGTTTTGTCTAGAGAGACACAACGAGACACTTCAGGGACCACTATGAGCTTCTACCAAAAAGCAGACTGGGGGCCTGCTCTTGTGTCACTCCAGCCATGGGGTTTTCACAGTTCTGCTGCACACTTACCTCCCAGGCTGTGACTCCTTCTTGCAAGGGAAGCCCACTACACCCAGCAGTTCCCAAACCAAAACTGGAGGGACACAAAGTTCGGGCAACCCCAGCACTTCCTCAATTACTATGTCACCTCACAAAGGATGAAGGATGATTATCAACCAACCGCTATGCATGAAGAACTCTTAGTGCACACTCATAGCAATGGCCACATCTGCCTTTCACCATTGTGCCCCCTTCAAGACACTCAGCCAATCCAACCATTGGAGCTCCTGAATCATGGCTGCTAAAAAGCTACTGAAACATGGAATCCAAACTTCTTTCATCCCCGAGCACTGGGGAGGTCTTACACCTGACAGCAAGATGCCAATGCCACAACAGATACATGTGTTACAGCCCACCCTGATAGCAACTGTCATCTTCTATGCCTTTTCCCAAGGTTTTTGACTATCTGTTCTTTCTACAGGCCTGTGCACCGTTTTCCTTCCAGAGCTACTGAAGACCAGCACGCTTCTATGGTCTACGCCTGACCCAGGCTCTGTAAGCGACGCAACGTTTGCCATTTCAACCCAGACCAACGCTGCCCACTTGCTGCTCTGCACCACCCAGGACAGCAGGTCCACCAGGTGGGTATCTTTAGTACTGCACAAAGGTTGTTTCCACGCCTGCAGTGACCTGGTTCCCACAGGCACAAAGGCTCCCAGGAAGTCATGAACAACCTGAACAAGCGGCAGTCAGGTTTTTTTACCCATGTCACAGCGCCTTTGCAGGCACTGGTTTACACCTTGCCAGTGCCTGGTCCTCCTTGGGTGAGGGCTACAGTATGGTCTGGTGTGATGAGAGGGTGGCCAGGTGCCAAGGAGTAGCACAGCCACGCTCTGTGTGCCAGCCCCTGTTGTACTTCCCTCTTGCTGCCTCGCTGTCTCACTCAACGCCTTTGGAAAGCCACCACTGAGCACAACAGCCCTGAACTACCCACTTGTCGGGTTAAATTCATCGTTCCTCTGCTTCTGGTTGGGTCAGGCAGCTGACAGGCTATACCGAGGAGGAAAAACGCACCAGGCAGCGTTGATGACACACAGCACGCTTCCAACACGCAGCACCATAACTTCATAGGTCTAAAGATCGGTTTCCTGGGAGCTCTGTAATTCAGTCTCTGCCACACCTTGCTGTAGTCATTCTTATCACTCCAGATGAAGACATCAGTGTGTTTCATTCCCCTCACTGCCAAGCTTAGAGTTTCTTCTAATTTAACATCCTTTCCTTCCTTTCCAGACCAACGCACCATGGAAAACCATACCGTGGACTTAGATGACTTGCCACTGACAACAGAATTCGACTATGACAGTTCAGAGCCATGCATGGGAACTGAGGAAAAGCACTTTGCAGCAAAACTTTTGCCACCGCTTTATTCTTTGGTGGTGATATTTGGCCTCACAGGCAACGTGCTCGTTATCCTTATCCTGGTAAAATACAAGAAATTGAAGAGTATGACTGACATCTACCTGCTCAATTTGGCAGTTTCTGATTTGCTGTTTGTATTTTCTCTCCCTTTTTGGGCTTATTATGCTGTTCACGACTGGATTTTTGGGGAGGTGCTGTGTAGACTTCTCTCAGGCATCTACCTCCTTGGCTTCTACAGCGGGATCTTTTTTATAATCCTGCTGACCCTAGACAGGTATCTGGCCATAGTGCATGCAGTGTTTGCTTTAAAAGCTAGGACAGTTACCTATGGCATCCTCGCCAGTGTTGTCACTTGGGCTGTTGCTATTTCTGCTTCTGTTCCTGGGATGGTATTTCACAAAACTCAAAAGGAAAATTCACGTTATACTTGCAGTGCTCATTATCCATCAGAGCAGAGAAATGAATGGAAGCACTTCCTGACCTTAAAAATGAACATCCTGGGACTTGTTATTCCAATGTTAATTATGATCTGCAGCTACACCCAAATTATAAAGACATTACTGCAGTGTAGGAATGAGAAGAAACATAAAGCAGTCAGGCTTATTTTTATCATCATGATTGTCTACTTTTTATTCTGGGCACCATACAACATTTGCATTCTCTTGCGTGATTTTCAAGGTACATTTTCCATCACTACTTGTGAAGGCAGTGGCCGATTGCACAAAGCAACCCAAGTGACAGAAACAATCTCAATGATCCACTGTTGTATCAACCCTGTAATTTATGCCTTCGCTGGAGAAAAATTTAGGAAGTACCTTCACAGCTTCTTCCGAAAGCAGATTGCATTCCACTTCTCTAAATACTGTCCCGTTTTCTATGTTGACACAGCTGAACGGGCTAGCTCCACCTACACACAATCTACTGGAGAACAAGAAGTTTCTGCTGCATTATAAGTTGTGTCTAGCAAAAATGTGGAATTGACTTTTGTGAAATCAAGTCTGTGATGAAAGCCTGCAGAATCTGTCCTGGATATTGGCACTGAGGCAGCTGCAAAAGATCACAGAATATGTATTTACCAAAGCTTGTATTTGCTCATAGATTTGTGTATTTCTACATAAATGAAAAGGATGTA